GAACTGGAGAGCAGCCTCCCGCTGAGGCCCCGAAACCCACCGTGGAAACCTGAAGCCCTGTTTTGCTCTAGATGGGGCCAAGGAAAGGAACCCTTTCTTCCCTCATTTTAATCCCTGCGAGGGAGGTGGTCATACTTTTTCTTTTTTTGTTGTTTTTGTTTTTGTTTTGAGTTGGAGTCTCACTCGGTCGCCCAGACTGGAGTGCAGTGGCTGCTCCCGGCCATCGCAGCCTCGACCTGCTGGGCTCCGGCGATCCTTCCGCCTCAGCCTTCCGAGTAGCCGGAATTACAGGCAGGCGCTACCACGCCCGGCTGATTTTTTGATTTATTGTAGAGATGAGGTCTCGCTGCCCAGGTGGGTCGTGAACCCCTGGGCTCAGGCAATCCACTCACCTCAGCCTCCCAAAGGCGCGGGATTATAGGCTGAGCCACCAATCCCGGCCATACTTTTTCTTATATATAAATAATTGAGAAGAATGAGACTTAGAGAGATTAAACGACTTTTCCAAAGGTCACACTCGCCGATGGTACTGGAGCGGCAGGCCCAAGGCCACCTCCTCCAGGCAGGTTCCCAAATCTGCATTGCAAGTCCTGGGTGAGACAAAGTGAGGTGATTCCTTCTTAGAGCCCCGAGATGCTGATGTTGTGAAGCACCAGGGGAGAATACAGCATGTAGCATTTCCCAAGAAATAATATCTTCCTGAGCAAAGTTCCACGACATGCCAGTTTGGGAAACACTGTCTTAAAACTATGCACAAGAAATGCTGGAGGTTACAGGGAGTTCAGTCGGGCATCCAAGATTCATTATCTCGGCCTCCAGCCAGCCAAGATGGATGAACCAAGTTCTGGAGTCAGTTGCCTGAGTTCATAATCAGGAGTCATCACTTACTAGCTGTGCAACCTTGGTGAAGCTGTAGGATCTTTCTAGGCTTTCATTTTTCATCATAATTATGGTATCTGGTTGCTAGTGTTCTTGTACGGATTAGATGAATCTGCAAAAAGTAGGTAGGCCCCCTTGCCCCACGCCCAAGTGCTGGGTAAAGCTTTTCTTTGACTCTGACAATTACACTTCTGCGCTTCCCTCCACCCAGCAGGCCCCTCTTTGCCCAACTCTGCTCTGCAAAATGCCCCTCTCTGGCATGACTCATTTGTACAGCTTACTCAGGAAAACCTTTAACCTAGTCTTACCCACTCCTTCCGCCCAACTCCCCATAGTACCTTGTGTTATAAGGAGCTTGTGCTCTTGCTGCAGACTCCCAGAGAGCAGGGATGGCTCTTCAGGTTCCAGCCGAAGCAGAGGGGCACTCAACGAGGCAAACCTTGATGAAAAGCCAAGTGGAAGCCGAGCACTGGGATCACTGGGTGCTGGGCAGAGAGGGAGCTTGGTCCCGGCTCTGCAGCATACAATGGGGAGGGCAGATGCATAAATGTAACCTAAGGGTGCCCACAAGCTTGAAGACGGTTCTGTGGGAGTGCAAAGGGTCCTTAACGCTTCTCAATAAACACAGGACTTGTTGTCTGGAAGGGAGCAGCTTCTGGGTGAGGAACCAGAAGGCCTTTTCCCTTCTGACCCTTAGGTTGGGTTGTCTCTGCTGAAGGGAGGGTGTGTGACTCAGGCACCTAAAGTAACCTTACAGGGTTACACAGATGACGGCTTGTCCCTCCCCCATGCCCCTGGCAAGTTCCTTCCTGTCTTTCAGCACCGCATTCTGGTGGCTCTTCCTCTTCTGCTGGCCACCTAGGGCCTGTTACCCTTCCCCTCCTCATCTGTTGTTTCCCCCTTCCGCCCATCATTGGAGCCCACCTCCATCATTTCTTCCTCCCTTTCATTCTTCTCCCCAAAGGCCACTTTTGATGGGAGTGAGCACTTTACCAACTGCCTCTGTTCCCATTCATTTCTCCTCCGCAAGTGTCCGTGCCACAAACTCCATTGAAATTGCTCTCCCTGAGTGAGGTCACCACTGACATACTTGGGACTGAATCCAGCCAACCCATTGGCCACTTCCTCCTTAACTTCCATGACACCACACTCTGGCTTTTCTCCTGCCTCTCTGGGTACCTACTCAGTGTCCTTTTTTATGACTTGTCCCTTATATGTCGGTGGGGTCCCAACTCCTTGGTCTCCACCTCTTCTGCTCTACGGGGTGACGCTATCCTGTTCCATTATGTCCACATTTTTGAGTCAGGATCTCACTCTGTTGCCCAGGCTGGAGTGCAGTGGCACAATCATGTATACAATGTCCACATTTCTATTTACAGCCCAGATCATTCCCCAAGGGCCACACCAATCAGCCCAACCCCATTAGAGGATTCTACTTGGATGCCCCACAGGCACCCTTCATTCACGTGTCCTGAACCGTACCACTCATTCTGTTCCTCACTGCCCCTCCCTGGTATTCCTCATCTCTGTGAGAGACATTACATTTATCCAGTTGTCCAAGCCAGAAACGTGGCCATCTGACTTGACCCATTTCTTGTTGCTACTGTCATCTCTTGGATCCATCTGCTTCTTGCCCTGATGGTTCAGGCACCTGTCATCTCTGACTTGTAGACTGCAGCAACAGCCTCCATCTGGCCTCCTTGCTGTCTGCCTCATCTGTTCTCCACAAGGTAGTTCAGATTTTTTTTTTTTTGAGTGAGAATCTCACTCTGTCACCCAGACTGGAGTGCAGTGGCACGCTCCTGGCTACCGCAGCCTCGACCTGCTGGGCTCCGGCCATCCTTCAGCCTCAGCCTTCCAAGTGGCTGGAACTACAGGCGTGCGCCACCACGCCCAGCTGATTTTTGATTTATTGTAGAGACAAGGTCTCACTGAGTTGTCCAGGCAGGTCTTGAACCCGCGGGCTCAGGCAGTCCACTCACCTCGGCCTCCTAAAGTGTTGGGATTACAGGTTGAGCCACTGAGCCTGGCCCCGGCTAATATTTTTATTAATTGTAGAGATGAGGTCTCAACCAAGTTGTCCAGGCTGGCCTGGAACCTGTGGGCTCAAGCAATCCTCTCACCTAGGCCTCCCAAAGTGCTGTGATTATAGGCATGAGCCACCACACCCATCCTGGGTAATTTTTCTAAGAGAAAAATCTGGTTGCATGTGGTGGCTCATGCCTGTAATCCCAGTCCCTTGGGAGGTCAAGGCTGGAGGATCGCTTGTGGCCAGGAGTGCAAGAACAGCCTGGGCAACACAGTGAAACCCTATTTCTACAAAAATAAATACACAAAAGGAAAATCTGCTCATGTTGCTTCCCTGTTTAAGACCTCTCAGTGGCCCCTTGTGCACAGGATAAAATCCAAGCTTCTTAGTGTGGCTCTTCAGCCTCTGGTTCCTCCTCTTGTACTTCCTGATCCAGCCAGAAGTCACTTTGAATCTTGCTATTGTCTGAATGTTGCTGTCCTCCCACTCCCCCCTCCCCAAATCCAGGTGTTGGAACCTAATACTCAATGTGATAGAGCTAAGAGGTGGGGCCTCTAGGGGTCATTAAGTCATGATGGCTCTGCTCTCACTAAAGTAATGTGTGCCCTTACAAAAGGCTGAAGGGATCTGCCTTACATCTTCTACCATGGAGGGCACAGCAAGAAAGCCCCATCTTTGAAGCAGACAGCAGGCCCCCATGAGACATCAAATCTGCTGGTGCCTTGATCTTGGATGCCCTCACCTCTAGAACTGTGAGCAATAGATTTGTATTGTTTAGACATTACCTAATCTAAGACATTTTGTTATAGCAGCCTGAATGGGCTCGGACAAATCCCCTGAATCTTGTTAATTAATTCTTGCCTCTGGGCCTTTGTATATGGTTTGCCCTCAGCCTGGATACATTCCCCACAACCTTGCACTCTATTAAACTGCCCATTCTTTAGCTTGCCCCAGCACTACAAGTTTCACTCTCTGATCTAGGAGCAGGGAGGAATAGGACAGAGCTATGAAAGTCCCAGCAAAAACATCTACTCTGCTTTGCTTGCTTGTGTATCTCTAATATGTGGCCTTGAACCTGGCCAAGAGATGGGCTGAATAAATGTTGTTTCAATAGATGAATGAACCCATTCTTTCCCTTTACAACCAAACTCCCCACAGGAACTCAGAACAAGAGGCACTAGCTTACAAACCAGTGCCTACCACCTAGGATCCTGGGAGGAGGCTGTGCTTCCCCATTCTTTTTTTTTTTTTTTTTTAGTTGGAGTCTCACTCTGTCACCCAGACTGGAGTACAGTGGCCGCTCCCGGCCACCGCAGCCTCCACCTGCTGGGGTCCGGCGATCCTTCCACTTCAGCCTTCCAAGTAGCTGGAACTACAGGGGAGCGCTACCACGCCTGGCTAATTTTTGATTTATTGTAGAGATGAGGTCTCGCCAAGTTGCCCAGGCGGGTCTCAAACCCGCGGGCTCAGGCAGTCCATCCACCTCGGCCTCCCAAAGCGCTGGGATTACAGGCTGAGCCACCGAGCCTGGCCTCTTCCCCACTCTTGATATCAAAAGCTAGTGGGGTCCTTCAAAAGCTATTGCCACAAGATGAAAAGTCAAAAACAGAAGACTGGAGGGAAGGAGTTAATCACATTTATTGACTGGTAAATCGGGTAAATAGACAACTCAGTAAATCTGGGCTAGGTTGCCCCAGCATGCTCCCCTGGCAGGGCTCTGCCTGGGTCTGCCAAGAGAGTCAGAGGCAGTCTTTCCTCATCAGTACCAAGAAGGAGCCAGTCCTGGGCCAGAGTGCTCTGGACACCAGCTGGACTGCCCTGGTGGGTGGCAATAGCTTGGGTTACAGATCTATTGGTCCTGCCTCACCATTTCTTTTGGCCTGGGACTCCCCAGCCATTTTGGGGCAGAATGGCCTGGATGAGAGGTCAGTGGGGAAGCAGGGTGAGCCCCTGGGCATGCCTGAGGGAGAAGACCCTGGCACAGTCCCAGGGAGAACTCCAGTAGCAAAGAGGACTGTGAACATGGCCAGAATGCAAGCCAAGGTGCCCCAGAATGCAAGCCAGAGAGGCCCCGTGAAGAGCTCACAAGCTCAGATGATGTTTTGCTCCTGGATCTTCTCTCCCAAGTAAAAACGGCTGAAGAGGAAGGGGTTCAGGTTGATGGTCTGGAAGTGGCCCTCCAGCACCATCTCTGCTACAGCTCGCCCCACACCCGGGGCCTGCTGAAGCCCATGACCACTGAAGCCCGTAGCAAAGTACATGTTGACGACTAGTGGGTGGGGGCCCACTACGCCATTCTGGTCAAAGGTGTTATAGTCGTAATAGCCGGCCCAGGCACGCCGAACCTGCAGGTGCACAAGATGCTAAGGTTCTCAGGAGGGCTGCAGACATGCTTAATCCTCACTCCCATCAGGGGTCAGCACAAAGTACTGGGGGTCCATGGGATGGGATGGACCCAACAGACTCCTGAGCAGTTGTGAGGTGGAAGGAATATGGCGGTGGATGGGTCCAAGGGGACCAAGATGCTCCCGTCATCTGTCCCATCTGATGCCCAAAAATAAAAGGGAGAAACCAGCCCCTGCTAGTTACCTTTAGAGTCTCAAAAGCTGGTACCCTCTGGGCCAAAGGGGGCCACACCTTGTCCTGGAAGAAATCATGGTCCACTTCCAGGTTTCCTGGGTCCGGTTCCTCCTCCTGAAATGACAGGTGGGAATAAGACTTATATTGCCTGGGACACAGGGCAACCCAGACCACAATGACGCTTTTAGTCAATCTCCTCAGTAGGTAGGGGATGGGGAGAAATGGTCCTAATTCAAGCCTGGAGGAGTCTGCAACAGCAATAATGCAGCACATAGCCCTCCAAAAATGCCTGATTTTCTTTAAAAAAAAATTGTGTGTGTGTGTGTCAGACTCTCACTCCGTCACCCAGGCTGGAGTGCAGTGGCACACTCACAGCTACCACAGACTTGACCTGCTGGGCTCATGCAATCCTTCTGCCTCAGTCTTCTAAGTAGCTACTACTACAGATGTGTGCCACCATGCCCAGCTAATTTTTTTATTTATTGTAGAGACGAGGTCTTGCCAAGTTGCCCAGGCTGGTCTCAAACCATTGCGCTCAGGTAATCCTCTCACCTTGGCCTCCCAAAGTGCTGGAAAGCCTGATTTTCATGACATTGTTCTATGTCTCCTTCCCAGCATGTCCCATCCACTCAGCTTACCTCAGTGGGGCTACGGCCACCTAGGTAGTTGTTTCCTAATCCTTCCCGGCGGAAATAGGCTCCACTGGAGTCTATAACGAGTGGTGCCTCCAGGCCTGGTCCCTGGGGGCAGTGCCATAAGTACACATACCTGCCACACACAGTTAAGTATTTGCAGAAACAGTATGGCCAGCAACCCTCCCACCCCCAACCACACACATACACACACGTGCTTAACCAACTTGGATGTCATTTCTTTCCTTCTCTCACCAACCTTCTCAGTTTCCCTGAGAGACGTTACCTTTTCCTTGGCTCCACAGGTAGCTTGGTGCCCTGTAGGGTGCCAGGTAGCCCCTTCCCAATACCAGCCAGTTCTGCAATTTGCCCAGACCAGGCTCCTGCTGCATTGATCACTATGGCACACTCCACAGGCTGGTACTCTAGGCTGTTGTCCATCTTCACCTGCAGGCACCAGAGGGTGAGAGGAGAGAGAGCCTGGGCCATACACTGGGCACTATGAGAGGTATACTTCTTCCTGAGCCTTAGTTTACCCATACTGGAAAGTGGGTAGAAGAAGACCAAAATAAGGACAGTCATTACCTTTCTTATTCCTCTACTTTGGAAAGGGACATCCTCAGACTAGGAACTTACATGGACTTCATGGATCCTTTTCAATATCACCTCTTTCTCACTTGCGGTCTTCATGCGGTCAGATGAAGAGGTGAAACCTGCAGGGAAGAAAAAAAATAATAAGCCTGGGCCGGGCACAGTGGCCCAAGCCTGTAATCCCAGCACTTTGGGAGGCTGAGGCGAGAGAATTGTCTGCACTCAGGGGTTCGAGACCAGCCTGGGCAACTTGGTGAGACCTCGTCTCTACAATAAATCAAAAAAGAAGCTGAGCATGGTAGCACGTGCCTGTAGTTCTAGCTACTTGGAAGGCTGAGGTGGAAGGATTGCCTGAGCCCAGCAGATAAAGGCTACAGTGGCCGTGAGCATGCCACTGCACTCCAGCCTGGGCAACAGAGTGAGACTTCGACTCAAAAAGAAAAAAAAAAAAACCTGGGAGATCTTGAAGAGGAAGGAAATGGGGATTCCGCTGGCTTCTCAAGGAAAGAAAACTGGAAGAATGGGAGCTTTTCCCACAGACACTGAAGCAAACAGAGATCAGGTAACCGGGATGGGTTTGGTCACACTCTGACAGGACAGTGTTGAGACTGTCAAGCAGATCACAAGGCACAAGCAGCCTAGTGAGGAACACTAGTTAAGATGCCCAAGACCACCCCTCAGTGAGAACCCCTTTCCCCACCAGCCCTTGCTTAACCTGTGAGTGAGAAGACTCAGTTCAGGCCTATGCCCCAGTTGTTAGTGGAAACAAGCAGTGGGCACAGGGCCTCAAACTCACGTGTCACTTCTCCCTGGCAGAAAAGGACGCCCATGGACTGTACCTTTCGCCGAAGCCCCTGGAGCAGACACCAGGGGTCAAACCAACCTTCATCCTCCAGCCCTGTGATAAGAAAAGGAGAACTCACAAAGAGGGACTGGGGACCCTCCTCTCCTATTGTATTTCCTTACCCCCAACTCCTCTCTAGGGTTTGTAAGCCAGGGAAGGTCATCCTGACTAACTACACCAGAGTCAAATCTGCTGGAGGACAGAGAACAAGCATGGCCTGGGGCTAGCCCCGTTGCTTAGGAGGGAAGCGTTCCTCCTTCAGCTTGGCTGTGGGGTACTGAAGACTTCTAACCTTAGGCACCCTCCATCTCTATCTTTTTTAGGATAAAAGCTGTCCCCTCTGCAAGCAAGCCTCACCATAAGATGCCAAAGCCACTCCCTCTGTGTTTATCCAGGGAAACTTGTTCCGAAGCTGCTCAGGGGACATCAGACAGACTTTGGCTCCTTCCTGCCTGAGAGAAATGTGTGGGTCTGCATATGTGTGCTAAAGAGGGTGAGTGTGCACAGGGGGAGGTATGGACCCCAGCTCCACAAGTGGGGAGTCCAGCTCACTCATGTCACTTCTCTGCCCCAAACTGCCAGTTTTTCCTCATTGCTGAGTGGGTAAAGAGCAAGCCTCCTTGTCAAGGTTCGGCATCTGACCCTCCTTCCTTTTCTACACCCTCTTCTCCCTTTAGCACACTCAACTTCTTGCTGTCCTCAGCCTGTTTCATGTCCTTTCACAACATGGTGGATAACCTTGTTTTCTCTACTCCTGCCTGGAATTCCTTCCTTGAAACCTCCTCACAGTCTTGTTCATCAGTACAAATATCTCTTCTGGGACACTGTCCCCAAAGGCAATATAACGTAGGTGCTAAAAACACATCCTTCACAAGCCAGACTGCCTGGCTTAACTAAACTCCCAGTGTCACCACTTCTAGCCCCTTGTGCCTCAGTTTCCCTACTTGTAAAATGGAGATGTTCTGTTATGTGAGTTAATATCTGTAAAGCATGTAGGACATTACCTGATGTCACTGTGTTTGTTAAATAAACATAAAATTAAAGGCTCCAGTCATAATATGTCACAGACACCTACCCTCGACTGATGAGAATCACTTAGGGTGGGGGCTACCAAATCTGAACTGCTGCCTGTTTTTGTAAACAAGCCCCACACTCCTTCATTTTTAAAAAATTTTTATTTAAGTCAGAGTCTCACTCTGTTTGCCAGGCAGGAGTTCAGTGGCACACTCAAGGCCACTGCAACCTCGACCTGCTGGGTTCAGGTAATCCTTTCACTTCAGCCTTCCAAGTAGCTGGAACTACAGGCATGTGCCACTGTACCCAGCTAATTTTTTTTTAATTTATTGTAGAGACAAGATCTTGCCAAGTTGCTCAGGCTGGTATCACACCTGTGGGCAAAGGCAATCTTCACGCCTCAGCCTCCCAAAGTGTTGGGATTACAGGAGTGAGCCACCACACCCAGTTTCACATTCCTTCATTTATACTTTCATCTATGGCTGCTTCTATGCTGAAATGACAGAGATGAGTGGTGACAATAGAGACTGTATGGCTGATGAAGCCTAAAATATTTACTATCTGGCCCTTAACAGAAAAATTTGCTAACCCATGACATAAGGTTCTTGTTAAAAATTCAGATTCCTTGGTCCCTTCTTAGAGATTCTGGTTTATTAGGTCTGAGATGTGTCCCAGGTAGTTCTTATGATTTGGCAAATGCAGGAACCACCATGCAGCATTTTGTACAGCATTCTCCACAGGGATCGAAGGTCTGCATGTGCCTGTCTTTCTTGACACACCAAGCTTTTAGAGTAGGAACCTGTCTTACCAACTCCATCTTCTCAGTTCCCAATTCAGCACAGGAGTCACTAAACACATGAGGCCACACAGCAGCTGAGAGGCCGCACCAGGAACCCACCTCTGCACTTTCACGTTGCTCTCCATGATTGCAGCACCTTTTTCTGAAGCCAGAAAGAGATAGCCTGAGGGGTTGAACTGGAGATCCAGGGGAGGGGCATCAACCACAGCCAGGTGCTCCTGTGTGCAAAGACAGGCTCCTCAAAGACTCTGACTTTAAGAGGCCAGGGTGAGCCTTCCTGCCTTCCTTACCCACAGTTCCCAGGACTCAGTGTCCCAAACCGCGAGGCACCACCATCAAGAAGAAAAGCCAGGGTCCTCATTCCTAGTTGTCTGACCCACTACTCCTCCAACTCCCCTCACCAGCTGGGATGCTTCTCCCTCTGGACTAAAGGAGGGGTCTCCACCCCAACCTCCCAAGTATCATTGCACATACATTGATGTTCCGTAGAAAGCTGACTGAAAAGAGGGAGAGCTGGATGTTCTCAGGCAAAGAGAACTGCTGTCGAATTCCGCCCACAGAGAGCCCTGTGGAAGCCTGTGAGTACTGTGGAAAGACAGGGAAAACTAAGGTAGATCACTGCTTTCATACATATGAATAGGATACTGCAATGGAAGCTAATGGGGAGACCTATTTGCTAGTTTATAATCTAAGAGGATAGACCCATATGTAAGTCAACCCAAAGACACTGGTGCTTAAAATCATCATTAGCAGATGTGCAGAACACAGATGGTCAGTCAAATAAAAGAGCCAGGCATGGTGGCACAAAATGGTAATGGCCTGGAAGTCCTTGGGGCAGCAGATTAACATTTGATCTATCAACTGGAAAATGAAAGGTATGGCCAAAATATAGTAGCAAGACGTGTGGCTAGCTGGCAATGCAAATAAGAACAACCAAAATGCAAACACCTCTTAAGTAATGGGACCTAAAAGAAAAAAGCTGAGAGAGCTGTTTATGACAACTAGAGCTTGATTGCAGGCTCTCTTGGCCAGACCTGTGAAATCTCAAAAGCTCCAACATTGTGAAATTTGCTTTCAGTAGCACAAGATTTATTACTAAGTTTCCTGATTTGAGCAAGGAAGAACCTGGAAATTTTTCAACAAGGTCCAAAACACAGTTCCAGTCCTCTGAACCCCCAGAGATTGAGGTTTTCCTCTCCTCCCCTTTCCTCAACCCTGGAGTCCTTAAAAAAAAGTCATCTTCTTAGCCGGGCTTGGTGGCTCAGCCTGTAATCCCAGCGCCTTGGGAGGCTGAGGTGACTAGATTGCCTGAGCTTGCGGGTTCGAGACCCGCCTGGACAACTTGGCGAGAGCTCATCTCTACAATAAATCAAAAATCAGCCGGGCGTGGTAGCGTGTGCCTGTAATTCCAGCTACGTGGAAGGCTGAGGTGGAAGGATTGCCGGAGCCCAGCAGTCAAGGCTGCAGTGGCCGGGAGTGGCCACTGCACTCCAGTCTGGGCGACAGAGTGAGACTCCAACTCAAAAAAAAAAAAAAGTCATCTTCTTTGCCCCACTCATGACTCTGCCCTACCCCAGACCTTACCGTGTGGTCTCGTTCCACCACCAACACCCGAATGCCACCTTGTATCTTCTCCAGCTTCTTCAGCCAATACGCCACAGATAGGCCAAGCACTCCACCTCCCACGATCACCACATCCGATTGTTCAGGGGGCAGGTGGCTGGTATCATACAGTGGATTCCAGGTTCCTCCAGGCAGGAACGACTGGATCTTCTTCTTAATCTCAGATATATTTCCATCCCAGTCTGTGGGATGTAGTTATGGTCAGAGGGCCATGCATTTCCTTCCCATGTGGTAGGGGGTTGGGGAATAGGCACAGGAAAAGGTGGGCTAAACAGACACTTGAGTTGGCAGTCCCCACTGTCATCCCTTGTCATAAGGTCACCTTGCACCCAACGGTGTTGCCACAGTTTTGCTAGGTGACCTACATGCCATCAGTCTCATACCCAGAATGGCAAGGTTCAACTTCCTAAAATTAACACTTTCTACTCTCACCTAATAGATGACTCATGTAATTATATCCTGCACAGATCTCTCACCTGAGACACAGACTCATATATCCAAATGCACTGTCATCTATACTTGGGTATTCCAGGTCCCTGGACCAAGAGGTCCCAGCGCACTCAAAGCTGCAGTGTCCTCTGAAGCATGGTACCTCTAAGTGGCACCTTATCCTGCACTTCTAACACCACCAGCAAACCTACATTCATGTCCTATCTATAATCAAGTCCTAATGACTTTGCCTCCCAAACAGCTCCCCAATCTGTCCCTTATCTTTCTATCTCTGCCATCACCATCCTAGGCCAAGCCACTATAATTTCTTATCCAGACAAATACAAAAGCCTCCTGTTTCCACTAATTCCCCTTTTCTACCCCACTCCATGTGGCTAACTTTTCTACATTATAGCCAGAATTTCAAACCACGAAATGAATCACAAACTCCCTTACTTAAGACACTCCAAAGGCTTTCCATATTCTGAGGATGAAAGTCCAAAATCTTTTTTTGTTTTGTTTTTTTGAGTTGGAGTCTCACTCTGTCACCCAGACTGGAGTGCAGTGGCATGCTCCCGGCCACCGCAGCCTTGACCTGCTGGGCTCCGGCAATCCTTCCGCCTCAGTTTTCCAAGGAGCTGGAACTACAGGCATGCGCAACCACGTCCCACTAATATTTGATTTATTGTAGAGAAGAGGTCTCACCAAGTTGCCCAGGTGGGGCTCAGGCAATCCACTCGCCTCGGCCTCCCAAAGTGCTGGGATTACAGGCTGAGCCACCAAGCCCGGCCAAAAGTCCAAAATCTTTAACAGGGCCTCTGAGGTACCACACAATCTGGGTCCTGTTCACCTTGTCCTCCCCTATACTCCATCCCCTTCAGTTCCATGATAGCACCTATTTCCTTCCATCACAGGGAATCGAGACGTATTCTGAAATGACAAGTGTTCTCTCTACCTTGAAACTGTGTCCACTTCTTGGCCAAGTTGACTCCTTGCTTCCTTTAGATCTCAGCTCAGGTATCATTTTCTCAGGAAAGTCTTTCCTGATCCCTTAGTCCAGTAGTCCCCAGCCTTTTTGGCATCAGAGACCAGTTTTGTGAAAGATAATTTTTCCACGGACAGAGGAGGGGTGGGGGTGGGGCATCAGATTCTAATAAGGAATGTGAAACCTAGATCCGCTGCATGCGCAGCTCAAAATAGGTTTCATGCTCCTATGAGGATCTAATGCCCTGCAGATATGACAGAAGGAGTTCTGCTCACCTCCTGCTGTGTGGACCTGTTCCTAACAGGCATGGACTGGTACCGGTCTGCAGCCCAGAGGTTGGAGACCCCTGCCCTAGACTATGTCAAATTCTCCCGTCACACAGTCTCTTAGCTCTATGAACCTCTCTTGGATGGACACATTTGCAATTTTCAGTTTATTTGTGATTGCTGCATACTATAAGATCCATGAGGGGAGACTATGTTTACCCTTACTACCGAATCCCCAACTTAGCACATCTGGCACATTCTAAGTGCTCACTAAGTATCCTGAATAAACTAATCATTTTGACATTTCATGCCTAGCTCAAACTCTTCTCAGGAGCGTTGGAATTTTTCTTTGATCTGGCCTGACCTTACCAGTCTGCACTACATTTCATGCTACTACTCAAACTATCTAGATGACTTCCTATTTGTTAATTCCTTGCACAAGAATAATATTTTTCTCCTAATCTGTGCTCAGTTCTTCAGACACTGGAACACACACCTTTCCTGAACTTTCTTTTTTTTTATTTTGAGTTGGAGTCTCACTCTGTCGCCCAGGCTGGAGTGCAGTGGCCGCTCCC